GTTCTTTAATTTCTGTTGATAATTCTGTTTTACACTGAGCTTAAATGATTCCATGGGTTAAAAATTATTTTTAAAAGTTCTCTGAGAAGATAAATAAAGTTATATTTTCTTGAGAGATGACTAAAAGAGATGACAATTAATTGAATGTAAATGTATGTAACCTAATGTGAAGCACTGTAGTTTCAGGAAACCACTTTTCCCATTGACTCGAATTTAATTTGCTACATGGTGTATTTTCAGTGCAGTGGCATTCTCTGATCAGTTGCAGATGATAAATTCACAAATTGAAAAGAAGAAGAAGAAAAAAAAAGCATCTTTGCATTTTAAGAATGAAATCATCCAAATCATGCAAGTATGTCTAATGATGGCAGTTCTAAGGTCACAGTAGGGTAGTCTTTGTACTTAAAAATGCTTTTCTGTTATAATCAAGGGTGATTATTATGCAGCATTTTATATATAGAAAACTGTATATGTATGTCCATCATCTCTACCATTCTTTTGAGATTCTGCTTTTTTCATATGACCTAAAAGCAATTAGCTTGAAATACGTGTTGTGGTTTGTAGTTTGTTCAGAAGCTTCTTATCTACCAATGTTTACATTAAAAAAAAAAAAAAATGTTCGGCAAATAAGTAAGATTCTCTTTTGGTGCATTTGTTCTGATCTGAACATTTTTCACTTTCCCTGGATACTTTATATATCCACTTTTACTTGTTATTTGCCAGCACTTCATAAGTAAACATTTTGAGGAGGGGTGAAAAGAAATAAAAATATCTTATGAAACAAAACATTTATTTCATAGATGACCTTCAGATTTTCCACTGGATCAAGTTTACCAGACAAGGCCTAGTTGGAGTACCAGAAAGTCAATGTGTTTGACATGCTTGGATCATCTGTTGTCCAGTGCAGAAGACATATTTTTCTTCTAAATTGTTCATGACTTACACAGAGGTTTTTTGGGCTGTGATGAGGTATCTCCAGTTCAGTTTAGCAGTGATCTAAAATGACTTATTTTGTTATCATAGAGAAAAAAAAAAAAATATATATATATATATATATATATATATATACATACATATAGGTATTTAAAGCTTTACAAGAAAAAATTAAATGATACAAGTGTGTGCATATTCAATTAAAACAGCAAATAAACCAGCATCCTCCCTGTGAAAGCTTCTACATTTCTCTTTCTCTGTATTGGAGAACTAATTGTTTTAACTGGAGGAATCAAGCCTAGCAAGCAGAAAAAAAAAAAAGAAAAAAGAAAAAGAGAGAGTGAGAAAGAAAGTGAAAGAGAACTTAGAGAACTTGCCCATACCAAGACAGCAAAAGGCCTTACTACCTTAGGGCATTAATTACTGTTTTAAGAGATGGTCTTTGCAGAGGAGGTGCAGCAGTAGCAATAATTATTATTGGCAATATCTTCATAATCAAAAGTTTCTACACCAGCTTAACCACAGGGGGGTTACCCTTATAAACTAAATTCAACTGAAAGGAACAGTAAGAACCCCAGAAAATCTGCTTTAAAAAGATGAGAGGCAGAAGCACAGCTTTGCTTGAACTCAGACAAATCCTCATCTCCCTGAGCAGATTTCTCCTTCTTCCAAAATAACAGACTTGTTTAAAAAAAAAAAAAAATAAGCAAAGCACAAGAAGTACCTGTGGCTGATGGAACTTGACCCTAACACAAATCCATCTGCTCTTCACTTGCCCCTGAAGGTCAGAGTTGAGGTGGGGAGCAGTGTTTGCTGTTGCTGTCTAGCCTCTACCTGGTCTGTGGATAAATATATTCTCCAGAGCTGTCAATCAGGAATTTCTCATGCACTCTGAATTCACTCAGAAACAGTCAAGCAGTACTGAAGCACACAGGAGGAATGATGCTTTTGTTCAGCTGTGCTACTTTCAGATGCACCTCTAAGTGCATAAAGGAGAGTGCATATTAAATCATGAGAGATCATAGATTATTATTGCTGAATCACTTGATTGCTCTGTTTTCTCTATAGACTAATAGACAGTATTAACTGTTATGTTTATAGTGATCTTTTTTGTTTGTTTGTTTGTTTGTTTGTTTGTTTCAGTAAAATGATGGTGGCATTATCAGCTCATGCCCAGAGAGAGTGTCCTTTCCACAAGCAAGAGTTTCTCTGTGCTGTAGAAGCCTGTTGATCTGAATTCCCTTGTTTTTTTACTTCCTGTTTGCACACGAATGGAAGCAAAATATCCCAGTGTGTGTTTGAACAGCTTGAGCGTTGTTGACCTGGGAACTATTTTTCAGTGATCTAAGGATTAGCTAGGGGTTTAAGCATTTTTTGTAATTTCAGATTCAACATCCCTTGTAGACCTCCAAGGCTTTGTTTCCATCAGTTACACTTGTTATATACTCAGCTACTGAAGGGGCTGTTGGATTTATTTTTTATTTTTTCTAGATTGCTGGTGATAAAAATTAAAGGAGAAGAGACAACTAATGTTTTGAACTATACAGTGACATAAGGCAGCCCATGCTTAAGTATTTACTCCACAATATATGATAATAGTTCTACTGTGATCATTACATCAAATAGTGATAATTCAAACATTTTTGAATGATCACAATTGCATCTATTTCTATAGCATATAGTAGAGTAGAACATATTCTAGTTTTGCCATGAACTTACACAAGGATTTTAGTAATCTTAAAATTAAAGTGGCATGAAGAACTAGTATTACTAAATTATGATTTACTGTACCATGTCAAGAGTGATAAATGACATAAATTCAGACTTTTCCTACACGAGAATGGGTGTCAGTTAGCCACTGAAAAAAATGGTAAATTATTAAGTGATATGCTATTTAAAATGTTAAATCAAAATACATTTTAATCCTTCTGGGGGGGTGGGGTGGGGAGGAGGGAGGGTCTCACTTTTTTGTGTGACATGTAAACCTTTTATTCAGACAAGGCTACTTTTTTTTTTTTCTTTTTTTTTTTTCTTTTTCTTCAGCCAGATCCCACAGGGTTGACTACACTGAGACCAGAACATACAGGAGCAGTACAAGAACCTTCTGTTTTCCAGTTCAGTTTTCACTCTCATGTTTCTCTATATATTGTATGTGTGTAATAAGCTTCAAAAGGTTGGCTATTCATAATAGTATTCATTAATTTTCCTGTAATGCCAAACGGAAAAAGTGTAGCCAGTTAACCTGCTTCTGTTTGACAGATACCTGATGCCACAAGTGAACAAGAAAGACAGGAAGTTATTCTTCAGGATCAGACATAGCATTGAAGCTCAGAGATGGAAAACTCGTCAGAAAGATGAAGAGCATATGTGCAAATTTCTTGGCCTTCTGTGGCAAATCTGGCTAAAGACCTTGTCACTCCTTTGCCTTTCCTTCTCATCCCTCTGCCACACAGAGACGTAGAGAAGACCAAATATTATAAATCACACTATTCACATGCAGTGAGTAAAGAAAAATGGATGTTTTTAGAGGGGGCCATTAACCTGGTTCCATTCCAGTTACATGACTCAGAGAGCAGCCATGCACAGCTGAGTCAGCACAGTCCAGAGGCTGACGTATGGAAGGGAATGAAGGGTGTAGTGTGGAAGTTTCTAGATTTGTGTTTACTGCTAAAGACTGTGTGGTTTTTGATCACAGGAAGCAGCATAGTCATGGTGGGCAAAGTTCCTCTAGCTGTGCATGTGAGGAATCAGAGAAGGAAGAGGAGCACAAGGCAAACAAAAGATGTTGAAAGGATGAGAGAAAGAGTTGGCAAATCTTTTGCTCATGATTCTGCTGGGATTTTCTCACATGAACTTTGGGAAATCTCTTGAACTCTTCATAACTAGCTTTCACCTTTGTGAAATATGGGATTGGGAGGGGGGAAAGAGGAGGATGTTACCCTTATTCAACTTATCTATTTAAGGGGGAGTTGGTACTGCTTGGTACTAAGTTGGTACTAAGCAGCTGGTACTGCTTAGTGATTGTGATTGGGTGCTATTCATAAAATAATAATAATAATAATATATATATATATAAGCAAGCAGTGGGTGAATAAAGGAAAAAAAAAAGATTAACCCTGTGGCAAAAATAGGATCAGACAAAAATGAGACAGAAATATTCTAATGAAAATGTAGATACCGTACATATGCATGCCGCCTAGTTGTGCCGGTTTAGATTTGGTTTGTTGTTTCTTTAGTCTTTACATATATTACGGACTTCCTTTAAGCCAGAAAAACAAACAAACACAAACACAAACACACACACACACACACACAACACACTTATAATTGAATCTCTCTTAAGTAACAAAACAGTAGTTTTAATTAGAAGAAAAAAAAAGAACCACAAACAGACAAAGACAAAAATATAGTGGAGATGTTCTAAAAAACATAGTTATAAATTGGAAAAGGAGGACTAGAATTTAAATCTATATACTACTTTGTTGTATGAAATGAATTTCAGATTGTGAGCTGCATAGATATTGCTTTACTTATTTCATGGACCATATTGAAAGGAATGTCACTCATGGAGTCTAGCTGTCCCTTAAAAGTCACAGAACTTAAGGTTTCAAAAAAAAAGTTACGTGTTTTTCATTATCTAGGAAGGTAATCAGGGTATTGAGACTATGGACATTAGTGTGCATGCTAACCTATACTTATATGCAATTCTCATGCCTTGTCATGCCTTGAAATTTTCCATTTACACATGTTTTCTGATCCTGATTTCAAGTCTTGGATTTATTTATTTATTTATTTATTATTAATGTATACTAAAAGAGATGTTTACTTTATGTAGATTATTGACTTTTTACACAGCAGGAATGTAGTTTGCCCTTCTGCTTGAATATCTGAATCCCAGCCCATGTGAATCAGCTATTAGTTTGTCAACTGCTAAATATTGTCCACATTTAATGTTTGTGAATTTTCCTAAAAGTCTTCTATCTTTGATTCATGTTATTAGAGGAAGGGAACAGCCTCTGTGTAATAAATAAATAAATGAACTAACTAAATAAAAACCCTTTGGCTAAGTCAAACTTGCAATTTTAAAGTTTTGCTAATACTGTATGTCTTCTGTAAGTGGCATAATGCAACTTTTGGTTTTCTTCAGCTTCTATTTTTTGAAATTGTTCAACAAGTAGTTTAGAGTACTTCAGAATGTTTTAACAAAGTGCAGATTGTCTCATGTATTATTTAGAATAATTCAGGCTCTAACATATATTAAATTAATAGGTTAATATTCTTCTAAATAAAACATTGGAAGCATGTGATAATTGGCATTTTACCTTGACATGTCAAGGTCATAACTAATTCCCCAAATAAAATTATGAAGCCAGTTTCTCATGTCTAAACAGAGTACCACCACTTTCTGGAGTAAAACTACATATAAGGATTTTTCTTCTCAAATCTTCATTTATGAGATTCCATGTTCTTTCTGATTCTCCTCACTTTTGTTTTCTTTGACATGAGCCTAGGAAGACTTACACCAACATTGAGGTAAGTAACTGTTATCTCTTGCAAACGAGGCTTACTACATTTAAAACAGAATCAGCTAAGATTAATTCTGCACTAAGTACTACAAATCTCAGATCTCCGAGTATGTCAACTCTGATCACAAGACATTATCTTTAGAATAATATCTCATCACTAGATTTATTTTTTGTTGGCTGTAAGAGTTGTGTAGATTTCCAAGAGTTCACATATTTCAAGGTTAACTTGTGGTCATGCTGGGTTTTTTTAGGCAAATAAGATGTAGTATATATAACGCAATCTGTTTGGAAAAAAAAAAAAAAAAAGAAAAAAAGAAAAAAAGTGAGATTGCTGCTCCATTATTTTTTTATTTTATTTTTTATCAACACAATTGTTTCTGCTTATTGGTGTCTCCCTCCCACTCTTTTTAGCAGCTGTTTTACTGTGACAACTTACCTCCAGCAAAGTGGGAAGATGAGCAGCTGCTTGCAGAACCAAAGCCAATCTTCTGCCTGGGATCAGTTGGCAAGAGTTTCTGTGAAAGAAGCGAGGATGCAGTAAATGATATGTGCTGAATTAATTGTACCTACTATCAGCCTGTCTCCAAAACTTGCTGGGAAATCTATCTATCCATTTGTGCAACAACAACAACAAAAAATGACTTCCTAATCATCTTTGAAGGTTAAAAAGACTTAAGTCAGATCAGTCTATTCACAGGAACTATTGCAGAGCTGATGCATTTTTTTTGTTGTTGTTGTTGTTGTTTTTTTGTTTTGTTTTGTTTTGTTTTGTTTTGTTTTTGTTTTTTTATATCAAATTGCATTTATTTCTTTTCAAATTGCTTTCAATCAGATTTTTCAGTAAGGATGTATGTCTGTTTGCGATTTCTTGGTGTGAAGGGGTGACTTTATTTATTTATTTATTTATTGTTATGGTGTTTTGGAGGTTGCAAATACTGACAGAGGACTAAGCTGTCATCCTATAACATTTGTTCCTTTAGACTACCATTCATTGTGAGGTTGATTCAAGTACCTTACTTTCTATGGCGCTAATAGTTTGTATTATTGCTTCCACCCACAAAGTAGGAATGTAAAGATCCTCTTCCATGATACCCTTACATTTGGTATGAACTTAAATACTGTGTTTGACAAATATATGTATATGTGTATATATATATATGTATAATATATATATTATATATAATACATATATAATATATGTTATTATAATATATTACATAATATATTATTTGATATATTAAATATAAATTATATATTAAAATATAAATTATATACATAATATAAAATATAATATATTATATATTAAATAATATATCATGTAATATATTATAATAACATATATTATATATGTATTATATAATGCACTAATTTATGCAGGGTTACTATGAAGGGTCGAGGCTTTCGATGGGACTTAGATACACACAGAGTTCAATGTCTTTGTTTTGAAAATAACATTGAACTTCCTAGAATAACATTTAAAGGGATTATGGGGGAAGATAAGAGACCACCTGTGGAAAGGTGGTCAAATTGAGGATCGTGGAAGAGATTTTCTAGCAGATGAAAGGAACCTATTTGTTTTGTGAGGAATGATAATAAGAATGATATCTACATGGACACAGACATTGTTTTACTGTTATTGTTGCCCTTTCTCATTCAGAAATTTGGTATTTTATCAACATATGAAAATGTCATATGTTATGTACTCCTGAGGTAGGAGGTTTTGCATCTGATGGTTCAGGAGATTCTTGATAGTGTTTTCCTCATTTTACCTCCCATTTCCATCCAAAGTGTTGAGATGGATCAGTAGAAGAAAATTATGTCATCAGAGTAAGGACAGATAAGTAGAATGTGAATATTTGACACTTCTAATACAACTAGAAAATCATTGATTCTAAACCTGAGAACATAGAAACTCTGAATAAATCAAACCTATTTGATTTCTTCTAGCATAATGTGGACTGAATTCTTTACCAGCCCAAGTCCTGGGGCCATCCCTCTCTTACTGTTATGGGATTTTTTGATTTCTACTACTGCATGATAGATAAAATGTCTTTTTTCCCCATGATCTTAACCTGCAGAAGCAGAGTGTTTAAGCTTCCATTACACCTGTTGTATGAAAGAGCAGAGAAGGCATTTATCCTTGAAGATTTGGTGAGAGATTAAGCAGTGGAGAGATATCAGATCATCAACACAAAATCTTAAGTTAGATTCAAATAAATGTGAAGAGCCAGGAGCTTGTTACAGCAAGACAAGGAGTAAATCATGTGGAGAAAGTGTTTATTGTGTTTTGTCCATCCTGTCATGTCCCATGTCCCCCCCACATCCCAAAAAACATAGGGGTTGTGAAATGCATTTGCATCATTGGCATTCCAGGGTTGTATTCTGTCACCTCAGGAAGACAGAAAGTGTTTTGTCAACTGTTGGAGGAAACTTCTATCTATCCCTGTGACTTGTGCTTGGTAACAGGAGAAGGGGCTGGTCTGGAGGCCAGGCAGAGCAGCTGCTACAGAAGCAGCTGGCGGCAGTCAGGATGGGTGATTTACATGTTCAACCATTCAAAATCAGCTGAAAATTATTTAGCTGAATTCAGATGGTCAAATAATGTTAGTGTTTGCATTGCTCAGCATTTTCCTTTCATTCCTTTCCTTACCATCTAGCTGCAAAATATCCTGTGGGTTAAAGGATGGCACATGGAACACGGGGTTTCAAAAACAACAAAAAGGGCTGTCTTTTTAATGCTGTGCTATAAGACGTTTTTCACTAAGGGATTTTAAATTAGTTTTCAAGGGGGGTTATATTCTAGCATTCCTTCAATGATTCTGACAGAGATGCATGGACAAGACAAATATCTCAAGACAAACATATTTTGTAATTCTAAAGTTTTAGGGAAAAAGAAGGAAATTTGGAATTCATTTAATCACACTGGCAATTTGGTCAAAATTATATATATTTTTTTGTATCATTGTCAAACATAATGTTATCTTTGTATCCACTTACAATATAAGCCTTTCAAAAGATATGTAATGTGGAAGTGCCACGTTGTTTTTAAGTCTTTGTGACTATGTCAGCCTTGAGACTGGGTAGGCATGCCACTTTCCACTGTGTGACCACTATTCTTGACAGTGGAATGAGTTATCACCGAATGTTAATGCCTCTCATGTTCTCTTCATTATACATACTCATTTTCATGACAAAGAGTGTAAAAGGAACAGAATATGGTGCAAAATTAATATCTTCTCCTGAGAATCTGGAAGCGGTATTCCATGATCTTACACTGAAGGCACAGCTGAGGACTTTGACAACTGCAAGTACACAGCTGCTTCTTCTACTAAATTCAAAAGAATTTCCATGTAGTTTTGTTCATATGTAAGCATGCGTGTGTATGAGAGCATGTGAGAGTGTGTATGAGCAGCCTGTGTAAAGTAACCAGGATAATATTATAAGCCAAAATTACATTTGATTTTAAACATAAACTAGATTTCTCTTCTGCAGGTTTTGGCTTGTAAAAACTTATTGCGCATATCTGAGAGAAGAGGTAAGATCAAACAATATATAGACAAATAGACAATTTCTGAAATTTGTGTTTAATACTCTATTGATTTATATTTTTATTATCAATATCTTATTCCTCCTTGGACACCTGATATTGATATTGTTAATATAATTTTATTTAGCTTTTAAGCTCCCAAGAATGGTCATGACTTCATGGCTAACGTGTTAAACTATACCATCACCTCTGAGTCCTCAAATTCTAACAGTACAAAAATGTATATGGGAGAAAGCCAAGAATAAAAGAAATTGTACAGTATTGTACTTACCCTTTGGAGATAAATAATCTGCCTTGCAGATACACTTCTGATTTGTAACTCTTGCCCTGGCATGTATCAGTGAATAAATTACTCAAAAAAAATTACTAGAGTTAGTGTGCAAACATATGTTTGTGTTTCAGAAATTTCCTGGTCTGTATCCTTCTGAAAGAAAAAAGAAAAAACAAACAAACAAACAAACACTAAAATCCATAGCATTCCCAGGTTTTCATTTTCACGTCTGAGCTGAGATCTGCTGGTTGACATTCTCTTGCCCTAGGCAAGTATTGATGGGGGGGGGGGGGGGGGGGTGAGGAGGAGAAACGGAGGAGAGGTGGAGAGGGTTTTTTTTTCAGACCCCTCTTCTATTGCAAATCAACAAGTCTAGCTAATCTAGAACAGCTGAATGAATGTTTGCATTCCCCAGAAGAGCCTGCTGTATGCATTTTTAAGGGTGATTCTATGGCTGAATGTATAGATAATGCCAACCCTCAAAAATACTTAGTGGAAAAACAAACATAAGTTCTACATTTTAAGGAATGATCATTTAGGGTGCTTGAGAAAATGTAGATATCAAAGTCCTCTGAAGACTGCTGATATTGCCTGTTTTTTCTAGAGAAACTGAACAAGAAAGAATTCTAGAATGTAGACTGTTGTTTCATAATTATGGAAAATTATCAACTTGAGAGAAGAGCACATTTCAACATGTATACAGTCAGCTAGAAAAATGAAAAACAGCTTTAACAGGAGTAGATGGGAAACAACTGAAGAATTGAAATCCAGTTTTATAAGAAAGTTATTCTGTTACTATAAAGGACTGTGCTTTAATTTCTTTGTGTTACCTAGTGCTGTGACACATGGTGATGACCTTAGAGTACTGGAAAAATAGCACATTCATAATGTCAGAGGGAAATGAGTAGGTTGTATTATGCTCAAGACCATACTGGAATGGTGTTCGTGCTTCCAAAACACTCAGAATCTTTTCCTCTAAAGAAAAAAAAAAATGTGTCAGAGCTCATTCTGATATATAATTATATATAATAATATGAGAATCATTCTGATTCTCATACAGAGTAACATGAAAAAATTGTATGGGGTGTATTAGGACTTTGCAAGAAATTTTCAAGGGAAAGTTTACATGAAAGCATTAGGGAAAGTATTTCTAATTTAGACAAATATTCAGCCTTGACACAAGAATTTTCTGGGCTATGTGGAGTCAGTAGTAATTACACTCTCCTTTTTTAAACAAGATAGTCAGCTGATCTGTTGCAGTGTGTTTTGTTTCCTCCAGGAAAAGGTGAATTTGTTAAATAGTACAGCAATAAACAACACACATTTTGAAGTACCTCAGAACCCAATGAAGACAACACAAAATGTTCTCTTTGTGGCTTGAAAGGACAAGCAGTAGATCAAAGATGGTTTTTCAGCATAGAATTGAAGGGAAAGAGGAGAGCTGGCTTAGATCTTATAATCAATATAACAGCTGATTCAAAATGCCACAGTAGACTTCAGATGATGATACCTTCAGAAAATGAAAGCCAAGGAGAAAAATTGCAAGAAAAGATAAGGAACTGTGACACAAAGTGATAACTCTGAAGAGAGGAGTGTTACAGAACGACCTTATACAACTTGGAGAGTAAAAGGTGAAGATGAGTTATAGTAATATAGCACATTACAAAATACATCTGCAGTGTATTTAGTAAATCAGAAAAACACATGAAGAGTCTAAGAGTCTTTTTAAGAGTCTAATAAAAAGATATACTTTGATTTTGCAAACCCTATTCTGAATTTTTTCTAGCAACACTTGGATTTATGGTTAGTGGCAGGCAGAGACAGAGTTCTGTGTGTGTTTGGTTTTCTGTTGTCTGTTTATTTACTTATTTATTTATTTATTTTTAATAGTCTAATCCTTGCCTTGGACTTTCGGAGTGAATGTGTTACCACAGAAATGTAATATACGTCCTCCTTATGGTTTCATGCATTATATGTGTGGGTCGTGGTTGTTGCTTGAGTTCCCATGATTATTTAGTGAGGAAGTTGCGTATAATTCCTGGCAGCAGAGTAGTTTATCCATTTTGTTAAAGAACAGCTCATATTTCAAAATATTTTCTAAGATCATTTCAAAAATAAAAAACAAATGACAAGGTTATCAGCCCGTTATCAATTGCCCAGCAAATGTAAAACCACTAAAACTAGCCACAGGAAGCAATAATTTCAATGACAAATTATAGAACTGTTTACTTAATGTGCTAAGTAATATATTTTTGATCAAAGATAAATAGTTTTAAAAGTTACATTTGTTTTGTTGCAGAGGGAAAAGGAAAATGCCATTCCCTGCAGGCTGATGTACCTTGTAAAGCAATCTGTCTTCAAATCCAGAATGAAAGAGAGCCAAAATAATAAAATAAATAAATAAATGCAAATAATAATTAAAAAAATCTGAATTACATGACAAGGCCCTTGAGATGCTGCTAGTTGCTTTCTGCTGTTGAGGACCACGGACGTCTGATATTGTGAATTGTGTTGAACATTTTCCTTTTTTTTTTTTTTCAGAAACATATTATGAATCAGTTTAGATTTACAGGTGGTTACAGTTTAAACACACAATACCATCCATTCACTGAAGCTTAATTTCAGTTAAAGGTATGTCTTAAAATCTTAAAATCCAGTCTTAAGCTTGTGCCTGAGCTCCTTACTGAATGGCCACAGATAGATATTAGAAAACATAAAGAATAGATCTGTCTTCACTGAAGTCTGGAATTGGAATTGCTAGGAAAAAAAAAAATAACAGCTGAATTTGAAACTCCAGAAACAAACTAGCAGTTACGTTTCACTGGAGACAGCAAGATAATTGCCATTCCCATTTTAGTAGGGGGGGAAGATTTGGTAGTGCTGTTTGGATGCATGGCACAGATCTTGCAGAATGGAGAGAGGAAAGACAAAGGTGGCTTTGTTCCTTCTTTGGTCTCAACCTTCTTATTACTCGGGGTTGCTGAAGAACAAACTCATTGTACAAAATTTGTGTACCCCATATATATGAAGGTCCTATCATAATATCCTTCCCTTATCCACTCAACCTGTTGAAGGTCCTATGTATATCCTATATATATCCTATATTCTATATATATCCTGAAGGTCCTATATATATCCTATACATATACACATACAGTCCTTCCTTTATCCACTCAACCCATTCTATGGAAATAACCTTTACAGAATATGTGTTAGAAGTATTTTCATAGATGCTTTTCACTCCGGTGTTGAGTGGTGGTGCTATGTCACATGAGAAGGACTCAGGGCTTCTTTCTAGTTTTCTCCTTTTGAAACACAAAGTTTAAATAATTTTTGTTTTCCCAAGCTACAAAACTGGTGAATGAAAAATATTCTTATATAAGGACTATTGACTATAAAAATATAGCATAAGTAATTCAAGATTTTTGAAAGCACATGACAGGATATATAATGTGCATTATACCTATAGTGAATGTTCAGACTAAAAAAATTAGAAGGTTCTCTAAAACAAAATTAATCCTTGTGAGGCAGTGGTTTCTTCAACATTCCAGGGAAAAGTTGGATTTGTAGTTTAGGCTGAGGTCATACATTATAGCAGCAAAGAAGAAAAGTATTCTGTTTTCTTAATTTTGAAAACGATGTCATTATGCCTTGGGAAGTGTTAAAGTATTTTAGTAATCAACTGCAATGCTCATTAGTCTGCCTATTATATTTGAAGCACTTGTATTTGTTGAAGTAGCAGCAGCTGAGATAAAAGAAATTTGAAAGTGAAATCATTACAAATTTGAGTCAGTGCTTTTTTCAAAACAGAAGCTTGTGATATTACCCTTAATGAGCTGATGCCCCAAACTCTGAAATATTTTCTAACCTCTTTTGAACTTCTTATTAGAAATTACTTTATAATCTGAATTTATGAAGAGGTAGTATTTTCTGTTTTCTGACTTATTTCTTCTAAAAAAAAAGGGGGAGGGGGAAGAGGGGGAGGATGATGGTTGCTAACTAGTTCATGGATCAAACTTCACTTCTCAAAGTAGAACACAAATCTTTTCACAGAGGAGAAAGTAAGCTGAGGTATATTTACATTGTTACGAAAAGACCCATAGTTTTATGGACAAATACATTTAAATTAAAATCTGTTATCCTAAGTGTCATAAATATATATATCCTCAAATTGCTGAACTTTGAAATGAACTAGAAAGTTGTTAATTTCAAAACAGCAATTGAAAATGAAAAGTTGGATGCCTGCATATCATATAAACTAACCCTGGAAGATGAAAACCCTGGTAGATGAAAGTCCTTTTAAAGCAAAGCTGTTCATATGCATGTAGCAGATTTAAGGTATTGAGCCTAGATAAGTTAAGGGCAAAAGTGGAAGGAATTCATATAGAAATGGATTATATTTACATAGTTTCAAGTTTTCTTCCAAATAAATTGAGCAAGACATTTTAGAAAGGAGGCTGTTATTGGTTTAATTATGAACTTAATAGATTTTTTTTTTTAATTATAAACTAATTGATTCCACATGTGTATGTAACGAACAGAAATATGTGGCAGGCAAATGATTTCATTTTAGAACCACAATAGGAGGAAAGCATCACTCTTAATTAGAGTATACAAAAGTGATATGTAGTGCTGTAGGAAAAGTACCAGATCACAAGAAATGAAAACATTTATGTTTTAATTGTTTCCTTTTGGTGACCTTAACTATGCTAACTCGTATTTGATGAAGTATGACAGATACTGTCAAGTTAAATAATCAACATATTCATAATTTAAAGATAACATTTTTCCAGCAAAGATCTTGGATGTGTTCAAGAAATAAACTTCATGTAAGCCTTGTAGCTTTTGTGTATTACCTATTAGTTCTTAAGCAAGCAAGGGTACTGGACTAAGTGCTAGGATGAAACAGGGATAATTCCAGCATGAGTATTTTTCAACTTGTTCTGAACAGATATTTCTATATGTATAAATACTTCAGAAGGTAAATCTGTATTTTTTAATTAGTGTTATTTATTTCTGAAAAAAAAAAAAAGAAAACAAACAAACAAACAAAACGCTTAGGGATATGGTTTAGTGGGGACTGTTAGCGTTAGGTCAGAGGTTGGACTCGATGATCTTGAGGTCTCTTCTAACCTAGAAATTCTGTGATTCTGTGAAAACAAACAACAACAAAAAAGTGGTACCTAGTCCTTGGAGCAGACTGTCTTTTTGTCCTGGGTAGAAACCTGAACAGATGAAAGACACAAATA